TCACTGGGGGTATGGGGTTTTTGACCCATGGCCATCTTTTCCTCCCAGCAACCCAACGAAGCAACCGCCACACGATCTGCCGCCATACCTGCGCTGGCTGTTGTTTTCCCTTTAGCCTGCCCCAAACAGGGCATCCTCAACACCCGTGGTAGGCTCCTGCAGGGCAGCCTGGACTGGCGCCAGAAGTGGGTCACCTGCGAGGACCCAGAGCTCCAGCTGGAGGTGAGGGTCGGGCACGGCGCGTCTTATGAAACGTGGGACACCACAAAGGAGACCACTCCACAAAGTCTTTTTTTATGCAGTTGAATCTGTCGGGCGGGGGGGGGTGTTGGGAAGGCACCGCTTGCATTCGCCACTTTCACAGGTTGAACAATCCGTTTCAGTTGTCAGTTGGTTTGCTCTGCTTTTTTTTTGAATGGGGCATGGGGCCAAAAGAGGGCAGGTGGCCTAGATGGCCATGTTTCTTAATGGTTGGAACACCTTCGCGCTTGCTTGATGGATATCAATACGTGATACAACTGCTGTCCACCAAAGGGCCCCCCAAACGAGTGTCTCCTTGGGCTGCTGGGTTGAATCTTTGAATCATCAACATGCTACGGATGGTTTTGCGGAAGAGAGGCGGTTGACCTGTTCTGGCCAGTGGCTTTTGTTGGTCCCTGCCCGGAAGGTCCACTTGTGGATGTGTTTTTTTCCACATCCAAGTGGGGCACTGAAACTCAAAAACCTGCTTGGCCTCGTGCACAGCTTCCACTGATCTGATCGGTTTTGTGTTAGTGGCCCTTCTTACGGAATGTATATCGTATCTGCCTGTTGTACACATCTGGGGCGTGGAGGTGAGCGCCTGTATCACCTGCCATCCCAAAGTAACGGTGGCAAGCCAGCAGACCATGCCACGGGTGCATGCACCGCATGCACCGGCCAAGCGCAGGCCTTGCGATTTATTCGCATGAGCCAGGGGCTCAGAGAGGGCGTCGGGAAGCATGGCGTAAACAGTGAGAAAAGCCCCTTGTTAGACCACGGTCGCCTCGATGTTTGTGCCTTTGCAATGGGGACGATTTCGGAAGCATTGGTAGTTTGACCAACCGCGAGACGTTGTGAAAAGAGCAAGCACGCACTGGTGCACTCACCCACTCGCACACTCCAACGGTGTCATGGCTCGAGCCTGACCTTCTCGGCGACAATCAGACACCATTCTGCTCATCGTTCCCTGAGGGGTGATGTTTTACGAGGGCCTTGTGTACCGACTCAAGCACCACCAGTTTCATTTCCGGATGGGTTGCTGGCCATGTTACAAATGTTGGGGTGGGAAGGGGCCGCAGTCTGCGGTTCCCCATATTGTGAGGCTGCAAGACGGCCCAAGCACGGGCACTGCCAATACATGCGATGGTTGGACGCTGAAGAAACAGCAGCTGTTTTGGCTTGGGTTGCCTGTTATCAGGAAGAAGAATGCCAGCATGGCGAAAGTTCACAGAGCAGTGTCGCGTTTTGCCTGCTCCTCTTTTTCGTGTGGCTTGTTGGGCACCACGAGGAGCTGAGACGTGGATGTTTCCGGTGGACTCGGTTAGAACTTGCCAGTTCTCCCCGAGGCTGCGAGGTGGGTGGGCGGGGCGCTGCGGCCTGGTGGTTGGCGGAGGCTCGGAGCCGCAATCTTTCTGCGCCAAAAGCGAGTTGCCCTTTGGGCGGTTTTCAATTTTTAGATATCACCTGGTTTCCGCCCGTTAGATTCTTTGCTTGGCTTTGGATAGATCATTTCAATTCCAGGTTTGATTGTGACTGAGCTGTAACCGGGCGAAACAAGCTCCATGAAGAAGGTCCCTTAGTTGGGTGATGAGCTTTGCAAGTCGAGCTCGTACACAAACGTTCCCATGAAGACACCTTGAAATCTTTAACATTTGCCTTGCCCAGCTGGTCAAATAAGCTCCTCGGTGAAACCAAGGACTTTGCTTTTGACTGTCAGCAAAGGCGGGTACCGTATAGGTGCCAGTATGGCGAGGGAGGTTCGCTCCCATACCCATGTCCGTCTTTTCAAGCCTCCGGACAAGATCTGCCACGGGCCAAGCCCCGTTTAAGCGCGTTTAAACGCCCATGATTTCAACCTTCTCACTTCCTGAGTTGGTGGACTTTAAACTTTTTGGAAAGACCATTTTAGTGGTAAATAAAAAGTTCAGACTTTTCTTGGCCTGTCAACTTGGGAAGTGAGCCTTATTTTGGTTTCCCTGTAAATGTGACCGGACGCACCCGACGCGACGGACTTCGGCCGCCGGATCCAGGTGCAGACTGCCCCCTTCCTGCGGCGGGCGGTGCTGCTAGCGCTGGGCGAAGATCAGATGGAGCGCCGCCCGGCTGTTCGACCAGGGGGCCGCACTCCAGTGCCTCTTTGGTCCCTTGGTTTTGGAGGTTTCCCTTTAAAGGAAGTATCAAACACGAGCGTGTTTTGTTTTTGTTCCCCCCCCCCCTTCCCTGGACAATTCTGGGGCAAGGGGCAAGCCCCCCAGATCGATTTTGACAATTTGATGAACCCGAGCCACATGACTTGTTGCAAATTGGGATTATTCTGTAAGGAACAGACTCCCAACAATATGTAAACCACGCCGGCGCTCGGTTCACTGACACCGGGTGCGCTTGAGATCTACGTATTGATTGTGCCTGAGGATCCATCCAGCGGCTGCTGTGCGCAGTGGAGGGTGTCAGGACAGCGAAGGGGTGGAAGCTGACCATCGAAGGGTTTTGGAAGACAGTCCTCTTTGAAAAGCCCCCTGTCCACCTCTGTTGGAAACAGGGTAGGTGGGTTTCTCACCAGGCAAATAATACGCAAGCTACTCAAAGCATCTACTTATCAGGGGCCCTTCCACCTAGGAAGTAGCATGCATCATCGAGGCCGCACTGGCACGGCTTCCCTTTTCCACTTTAGGTCCATTGGCGTTTTTTTAGATCAGGTTGGCTGAAACGGGTGGCAATCAGCTACCAGTGCCATCTACTTGTCCACGGATAAACACGCCGAGGAAGAACACTCCCTTGGTCATGCCGACCCCAAATTTAAGCGAATTCTTGCATGGTCAAGGATGTCCTTTTGAATGGGACGCCACTATGAGCAAGCTTGGGCCGTGATTCTCCCGTCAAAAATTAACTATATAAATAAATAAATCAATATAACATATATATATACACAAATGCGGGGATGGTCCTTTGCATTACCCCAAAACCCATAGGCTGCAACAAACGGCCGAGGGGGTGGGGGGACAGGGGTGGAGGGCCCCGAGGATCTGGCTCGCCTGGCTCCGCTGCGGCGCGGGCTGCGAGCGCCTGGAGAGCTATGCGGCCAAAGTGGGCGCCTATTGGCACAGGCGAATGGTTTCGGATGGGGATGGGGCAGTGAGTGCTTGCGGGTAAGAAACCGTTCTTTGTAGATAGGTTGCAACTATGACTCCACTTTTTTTTTTGTTAATGTCGACTTACCCTTGTTGTCCCGCTGTCCCAGTTGTACTCGGTTATAATTATAACCTGCCAATGCTGCCCCCCAAGCGCGTCGACCTCCAAATTGGGTTCGCGTGTGAGGGTGGTACGGCAGGGTGGAAGCCCGCGGACGGGCTCCCATCAAGTGCCGCAGGGTCGCCCTGCTGGACTTGCCGGGGGAGCTTGGGGAGGGCCACTTCCTGCTGGCGGCGCCCGGAACCTCAAGGGTCCCAATGATCCCTCCAGCTGTGAGTGGCTTCCTTTTATTCCTTATGTGGACTGGAGGCCTGAGTCACTGAGGGCGATTTCAGGTGGGCCGACCAATTCTCTTGTCACAGGGGGTGTAGAAGCCCGCAGCAAGGCAGAACCTTTCTCCGCAATCCAGTTTAACGGCAAGCCAGAGAAGCAACTTACAGCAATCGGGACAATGTGAAAAGCCACCTCCGTCCAAAAATGGAACATCAAGTCCCATCCCTAAGTAGATATGCGGTTCTCTTTGATCTTACGCCTTTCTTTCCCACGAATTCAATATGGAACCGACACCCTCGTGTTTCGAGGAATTCCCTTTTGGGGGAAGATTTTACCGCCCGGATTTGGGTCCCTGCTGAGATTTTTTTTGGGGGGGTGGACAGGTGGGAAGAAGTGGCATCCAAACGGCCTCGAGGCACTTTCTGGAGCTGACCTTGGAGGTGCTGCGCCTCCGGGAGGTGGAGTTTCAGGATCCGGAGCCGTCCTTTTTGCTTGACTGCGGGTTTGGGAGTCCTCGGGGTTCACTCACTGATTTTACTTGTTTTGAGAAAAAATAAACTGGGCAGGCCATTTTGCAGAGTTGCTACGTAAGTCGCCCCTTAAGACGAGGTGACGAGCATCGCGAGCAAGGGCTGCCCGTTCAGATGGCTCACTGAGCACGACACGTTTGCTCGAGAAGGTAAGAAGGACGTGTGCAGTGGCCAAGCGGTTCTCTCGCTGGTGTCGTCGTGCCGTGGCTCAAGGCGCAGGGTGTTCAATGGGCGTTGGAGTAAGAGAGACCTGAATGGACATTGAGAAAGGGAGACCTTAATGGACATGCAGCTCTTTGAAGCATATCTTTTTCTTGAGGCATGCTATGCAACTCTGCGGGCGTTGGATTCTACTCCCGCCAGAGCGGCGAAGTGGACGCACATGGCTTAGCACAGACAGAGCACGGGCCCCAAAGCCTCTTGCTAGCACGCGCTCGATGTATTAAAGTGGGTGAGCCGCGCCCGGGACCCTAGAACAAGTTGAAACAGGGCCGTGGCGTGGAATCACACCGTCACCGCTGAGGGATGGTGTGGTCCAGAAACTGCCAGTCATGTTGGGGGCGGCCAAAGGCCCATTGCACTGAGCCTCACATGCAAATCGTTTTGCGAGAATCGGCACGGACCAACGGCGAAAAAGGTAGAAGTTGAATCAGCAACCCCTTCATTTTTCCAGCTTCAAGCCATCCGGGGATATGTCCAGCTCTATTCTCAGAAGCCAAGCAAGCGAGCGGGCGCAATTCGTATCAATGGCCACAAGGTCTTCACGCGATGTCACCGGCAGCAGGCGCGGGCTTTGTAGGGCAGGGTGGAGGGCGAGGTTCTAGGCTTGCAGCCATCGCCCATTGCTGTGCACAGACCATGCCTATGCTGCATCCGTGAGCCAAACAAATCCACCCCACTCTCCCTGCTTCGAATCGGGTTGGGTCTTTCTTCCCAAGGTGGCCACCCAACCAAAATAAAAAGGCCTTTCCAGGCGCCAACACTGCCGGCTTCCAAACATAGTCCAAACATTGCCCGCGCAAGGAAAACCGTACCAAGCCGGACCATTGGCTTTGCACAGGTTGCAAGCAACCCCGGCATGAACCAGATCCGATAAACGCAAGGACACCCTTGTTTGGGTGGACCCTCGCGAGCAAGGGCATTGATGCACTAGTGGCGCTGTAGGGATTTCCGATCCTGTCGGGATTTGGAACTTGTGCAGCTTTGCCTGGGAGCCCGATTTGCCCTTTGCTGCCACGTGCACTCACCCGGTCTTCCACTTTTATTCTTAGAGAAGTAGGTGGGTCCAAAATCGGGGGACCCTTCCCAAACAAATGTGTGCTTGCCCTTTTGGTTTGCATTTAAACCAGCCCCAACAGGGGACCGAGCCTCACTGGACAAGCCACGCCCATTGTTTCCAGCAGCGTCCGGCCATAGAGGCGACACGGAGCGCTCTGCGGCCACCAGTCGGGGCTCTCGAGACCTGGGGCGGGTCAGCGGTTCCCCCGGTGCCTCGTCAGGTGCCACAAGCAGCTGATTTTCACCCAAACCGCTTGTTGCCCTCATACCACCGCTCCGGGCACCAATTCTGTCTGCCCAGAGTCGGTGTGAATCCTGGGCAGTGGCTGCGAGGATCTTTTGGGCACCGCCTGCTGCAGCTGATGCGAGAAAGGTTCTCCTCCGACCTGACTGATGAGTATGTAAGGCTTGCAGGAGAAAGGCCAGGCGTATTGACTCGCAGGCGATTCGTCTCCGACCTCACTAGCCACTGACTGATGAGGCTACTACTTACTTGGGCGGGCCGGCAAGAGGGCTTCTTGTGGTGAACTGTCAGTTGTCCGAGTTTTGGGTTACCGCTTTTGTGGCAAGTGCAAATCAGAACATGTCGTGATAATTATGGGGTGAGTTTGGCGCACTCTCCCAATTTGGGTGAACTGTGGAGTTACTGCTTGGTCATGAGCCAAAAACAAGTTTGGCAAAGGCTTTTTTCCTGTTCGAGTGGAAGGACTGGCGACTTCTCTAACGTAGTGGTCAAAAATTAGGCCTGGGTAAACCTGAATGACACGTTCCCTAAGAAGGATCTGCCCTACACACGGACCCCAGAGACTTGCCAAACAAGCTTTCTTCCTGTTTTTTTTTGGGGTGAGCACCCTCACTAATGCACATCCAAATTTGTTTGTCACCATCAAAGTCGCCACTTCATCGCTCATAAAGACAGCTTACTGCAACAGACAGCTTTGTCGCTTCAACCGCTTATATCGGAGTCCGTTTTCCCGGCTGTAGGCCCACGCAGCGAGGGCGGCCGGGGCAGGCTGCAGGAGAAGGCCCAAAGGCTGGCGGCGGAGCTGGCGCCTCGTTTCGGATGTTTTTTTTTTTTTTTGTTGTTAACGGGTTTGCCCCTTGACTGCTATTGGGTTGGATCTTTAGGCTTTAACCTTTTGGATTCCCCTCATATTTCCTTTTAACCAGCAAAAAGTGAAACTTTTGGCTGGGCCCGGTTTAATGTTAATAATTGTCTATGCCCTCGCTTTTCGTGGGCCATGGCATTTACACTTCTCCACTTTTTTCTGTAGCCCAAACCTTCCCATTCCTTTCAATAATTTATTTCTGAGTTGGCGCCAAGGCCAAGCACGAACAGCCGCCGCGAAAGGAGTGCCGAAATCCCAACGGTACCCTGAAAGGATCCTGAATGGCAAGTCAAAAGCCTGGGCAAGATATCATGTTGAGAGATCTAAAGTGTACACCCTGATCAAATCAACCCCCAAATCAGGCCAACCTCGCCAGTCAGTCCCCCAGCAAAAGCTGAATACCGCCTCCAGCCCCAGTCCGGAAGGCCAGGTGATGCTGGGGATGTTGCGAAGCCCTAAAGAAACACCGCGCGAGAAAAAAACCAGCCCCAGTTATTTGAACACCTCTAGCCGGTTTTCCGGTGTTGGCCAAGGCTCAGCCATCCTTGTCTTCGAAAGAACTGTTTATGCTTGTGTTTGTGTGGCAAATCGCAATGGCCAATGATCGGCAGACCTTGGCCAAGGACTTGAAGCTGCTCAGCGTGTCCAAGCGGACGGCCGGGCTCCAGGCCATTCCGCGGTTGGGGCGGGCTACGATTCCCGAAATATTGAAGCCCTGAAGTTTGCAGGTTTGAAATGGTTTTGGGCGCATTCTCGTCCTTGGCCCCCCTTCTTTTAAGACGGCGCAGGGGGAGCGAGCGCTGTCGCTGCGGCAGGCGCGCAAAGCGTGGTGCATCTTGGGAGTGGGGCCGTTGGCCTTGGAAAATCAAAGCCTTGCCCAGGATTTTGAGATAGCTTTGGCAAGGGGCATTTGATGCAGTCATTTCCGTGACACATGGCCAGCAAAGCAAGCCTCACTTTTGATGCCATTGTCTGATCTTACGGTGGATGGTTACTGAAGCGGATAGATGGTTCCTGAAGAAGGGAAGTTCTAGGACCTACCGCAATGTACCAAGGTTTTGCGGTTGGACGTGGTTGGTTCGCTTGCGATAACCCAGCCTCCGCTGGGTTTCCAACTTGCAATTCTGGGCGTCTCTGGGAAGAGGCGTTTGGGAAAGAAAGGCGGCCGACATCAGCGAGCAAGTGCCCCTCTTTTTGAGTGGTCCAACGGCGGAGAGTCTTCCGAAATAACAACTTATCAATCGGAGTCCGGTTGCCGCTGGCGGGCAAAGAGATAGTAATAGCACTGGTTTCACAGTCACTTTGGTTCTGATCATTTACCCGTTCCATTTTGTTTGTTGAAAAGGACGCCCATGGTATGCATTGGAAGGCACTCGCTCCAGCGAGTGCTTGAAGGCAACCCACCTTGTCAAGTGACGAAAGGTCTAATGTTGGCCCCAGATCAATGCACCCGTCCTTTTAATAGGGGGGTGTTCCCTCCAAAAGTGATGAACACCCACTTAAAGGCGGCCCGAGTGTCTCGCCGGGCCGCCGGAAGGCGTCTCCGTTTCTTGCTGGGGTGGAGCGCCGCGATGCCTCGCCAGCTCGCATCTTGCAGGCCCGGCTCCGGGGGGGAAAAGGGGCGGGGGGGGGGGGGGAGGTTGAGGAGAACTTTAACCTGACGGAAGCCTGAAAGGGGCCCTTGTCTGCCCTCCGACTTCTATGCTCCCTTTGGCTTATCGGAAAGGAAATGGAAAGATGATGAGCGCCAATTCCTAATGCGGCTGCAAAGTCGTCCCTGGCATTCACGCACTCATTGACTCACTGACTCACGGACTCACTGACTCACTGACTCATCGTAAAAAGAGTTGCAGGACTTCGGCCACCCCGGCAGGTGTGCAGCCAAGGGCCCTCAAACTGCAAATGTAATACAGGGAAATGCCAAGTCATTTGCAAACACCATTGCGAAAGCAGCGCAGGATTTCGTTCGTCAACATTAGCGAATGCCAGGAGTCATGAAAAGCAACAGCGACCCTGATCAACCAATTGTCTCACTGAACTCTGATTGGTCCATTGTGTATCTGAATGACGCCTGCAGCTCGGACCCCATGTTCCATCCTCGGACAGTGTTGCTGGGCGGGCAAAATTATTCAATGGGCTGAAGCTTGGAATTCTGCAATGGTTAGCGACGGGGAGCAAATTCGGCCTTCAACACAACCTCTAGACAAGCCGAAGTTAGATTCGGAAGCAACATAGATTTGGAAGCTGCGACCGTGACAACGTACTGACCAGCCTCCATTATCAAGGCATTTCAGGCTGGAGATCCTTTGTGCTCAACCTGTTTCTTGCCCCCATAGTGGAGTGGAGTGGAGTGGAGTGGGGCGGGGCGGGGGCGGGGGGGGTGGGGTGGGGGTGGTGAGGTGGGGTGGGGTGGGGTGGGTGTGGGGGTGGGGTGGAGTGGGGTGGGTGGGGTGGGAGAGTGGAGTGGAGTGGAGTGGAGTGGAGTGGAGTGGAGTGGAGTGGGGTGGGGTGGAGTGGAGTGGAGTGGAGTGGAGTGGAGTGGAGTGGAGTGGAGTGGAGTGGAGTAAAAGTGGAGTGAACGTGAAAGTGAAAATGAAAGTGGAGTCGGAGTGGAGGAGTGGAGTGAGTGGAGTGGGAGTGGAGTGGAGTGGAGTGGGCTGGGCCGGGTGAGTGGGTGGGTGAGTCGGTAAGTCAATAAAATGGAGCGGGGAGAGGCGGTGAAGGATTTTGTCAACCGTAGGACCACCTTTGTTTTGGCCTTTCGCTCAGTCGCATTCCGCCGGCGAGGTAACTCCAAACTCGCCCGGGCTTGCCCGGTCAGATGCATCGCCGGTGCGCATCGTCCAGGCGAAGGGGAGGATCCGAAGCGGGGATGTGAGTCTGCAAAGACTTGTTGCTGGGGAGTGGCAGGGGTCATCCAGTCAGGAAACCCGTAGGTCCCTGCAAGCTGGCGATCTCGAAGGCTCCCTGGCTGAACGGCTAAACCGGTGGGCTATCCTGAGTTATGTCAGCCAGGCAACTTGAGCAGATGCTACCAAGACTGGAACGTATGAAATGGGTGTACCCTCGATACCCCTCGATACAACCAAGTACAGGGGAAATCACAATGTAGGGAGGGCCATTCTTCATTTGACGGGGTCTGAAATCTACGGTAAAGGGGAACCTCTCTTTCAAGAACGTTGGATCAATCAGAAGGACCGTGCCAATCACAGATTCCGATTTCTCTTCGATCACTTCCCTGCTGGTTTTAGCACCACGCAATTCGAAGTGTCCTACGGCGAAGCGGGTTGCGCGGTCTGCACTGGGGGCGCGCAGCATCTTGACGTGCGGCAAATGCAAAGCGTGCAGCATCTTCCATGCAGCCTGCAACCCTGTTTGAATTGAACAGGGTTGGTTGCCTCGCCCCCCCCCCCCCCGGGCAACGTCTTTGTGAACAGGCTTGCCCGCCCGCGCCGCGAGGGTTTCCTTGGGCATGATGTACTCCACTATGTACTCCGATGTATTTGTCATTTTGAAACTTCTGTTTTTCGAGTTGGCGGCACTGCAACCACGGGCAGGCTTCTCCAACCTCTGGACGTGGCCGGCAAGATGCATCGCCACGCATTGCACAGGCGGGGACTAGGGGACAGGATGAGAATACTGCAACTATGGCAGGCGGGGGGCTGTGAAGTGTTTTTGAGGAGCGCTGCTTAAGAAGCGCAGGCGCTCTCTGATCTGAAGCGCGTCGGCGTAGAGCCAATGCCCAAAGAGAGCCAACTTGAAGCAAAGCATTTCTCACCTTTGCTAGGCCCCCTAACAACTGCACAGATTCTCTCAATTAGCGGTTCGGAGGTTATTCCTGAAATTTGAAGCCTACCGTTCGCTGACAGTAAGTGTGTGTGTGTGTGTGTGTGGGCGTGTTCCGTTTTGACTTGGGTGCGCTTGCTTCTTTGTAACATGCTGAATTTCAGACCCTGAATTCGTGGTCTGGACCCCTTGGGTTGTCAGCCGATTGGAGTTGGGAAATGCTGCAAGAGAAGATCGCAAAACAACTCACCGAGAGGGTCCCCCTATCACAAGGCAAGCCCCGCGAAACGCTTGGCTGATGATGTTTCCGAGTGCTTCAGCCGGCTCGGCGCGGTTTCGTTTGGACTCGCCGCGTCGCAGCGAGGCGTCCAGGACGGCCGGTCAGCGGGAAGCCCTGCCACCAGCGCGCATCTTGCAGGCGTGCGGCTGGGGCTCGGGGCGTTGGAATCGGTGCCCATGGAGCCCTTCACCCCCTCCCCCTTAAGGGGGCTCAACCAAATGGGCATAAACCCCGGCCAGCCGCTTTCGGATCCACCTTTTTTGGGTTCACCAAGTTTTTCATTTTTTTTTGGTTTGGAGCACGGAAGGCCTAGCCCAAAGATTTTCTCTCTTTCTCTCTTTCTCTCTCTCTCTCTCTCTCTCTCTCTCTCTCTCATGCACACTGCTGCTTTACAGGCCGTCACTGTGACTTGTTTGGTTTTCTTCTCGATCGGAGTTACTTTAGATGCCCTCGAGCAGCTGACACCTGACGCTGTACCGACTTTGGTGTGGCTCAGCTCGGCCTAGCAGTTGTTTGTTTTGAAGGGAGCAGGGAGGTGGCCCGTTTCTTTCTCCAAGCCAGGAGTCATCTCCGCGGCGGGTGCGGATTGCGCAGGACGGAGGGAGATTGGGCCTTCCCTGTCAAGTCACCCGGCCATCCGCGGAATTTTTGTTTGGGTTGTTCAACAGAAATCTTCAGTCCTTATGCTGATGTTGTCTCAGTATGGAGTACGGATCAGGATAAGGGTTTCCTCCCGCTCAGGTTTAGGCAACTTGGGCTGCCGTTTTCAGGGGGCGCTTTTCGCCCCACATTGTCAACCGACCATGCACTGTTATTGCACGCTGGCATCAACGTCTCGCCCAGGCCGCTCAGGAGAGCCTGATAGGCCATATTCTGGATTCTGTGTGTGACACTTTGTGTCGATGGGATACATGTTACACTTGCTGCCCGGATGAAGTTCGTTTCAGCATGACGTTTAGTCGTCTTGGCCATATTGTGTCAATCAGGGCCGGAGTGCATGGGTGGGGGGTGGGGGGGTGTTGGGGGGTGTCCAACTGCAACAATCGCAGCAGCAGCAGCAGCAACAGGCACCAAACAACAAGGAAACAAGCAAACAACAAGCAACAAGCAACAAGCAACACGCAACCACCACCACCACCACCACCACCACCACCACCACCACCACCACCACCACCACCACCACCACCACCACCACCACCACCACCACCACCACCACCACCACCACCACCACCACCACCACCACCACCACCACCACGACCTCCTCCTGTCGAAATACGGCAGCTTTTTGATGTGTGACTTTGCATCTGTGGCTTTGCATTCCAGGAAGTGTTCGCCAGACCTTTTTCCTCGTCTGCTGTTTAAGCTTGGAGTTTAAACGCCCTGACATGCACACCAACAATTTCCACTGTCAGATGTTTGTATGCAGAAAGTGCAAGCTCGCTGTCGCTGCTACAGTCGCTAAGGCCGCTAAGGGTTTGGTAGTTTCTTGAGTAAGAGCATTCACCAGTTGCAGGTGCATGACCTGCAAGTGCGCAAGGTAGCAAGCTGCTACCATTTGCACGCAAGACTCAGAAGTGTGCATAACCTGACCTTGTCGAGTTTGTTGTTCGCATGTGACAAACATTTGCCTCTCTGGCATCGGCGGCATGTTCATTTCGGTGTTGGGTGTCCGTCTGTTCTGCTTCACGAAGCCCCGCGACTCGTGAACCACAATTCAGCAGAACAGCGATAGCGACAACAACGGCAACCACAACCACTGAAACGACAATCACAACCACTGCAACGACAACCACAACCACAACCACAACGGCTACA